CAATAAATCCCTAGAAGATGCTTCTTCCCTACTCTGAAAAAACAAGCACCTCTCCACTGTAGGTAAGCGTCATCTTATGCAGTTTTTGATGCTCTTTCAAGTGGAATAAGTCTCTTTATGCGTCATCCCTTTCATTTCTGCGCTGGTGCGTTGCGAGAGAAAAATGTGGAAATCTGGCCAAAAGGGGCAAGGTACTCCAATTTAGCGGAAGAGTCGCGGTCGTGTTCGCGGAGTTATAGATGAATCCTTCTTCAAAAAAGTTAGACAATACTATTCTTTGAATTTGATAGTAGTGTGAACTGTAAGCAGATGAGAAACGTCTATGCATGGGGATTTCTCTCGTCTTTTACAAACAAAAGGATGAACAGAATGGTTCTATCACAAAAAGTATATTACTTTGTTCTCTTCTTCACTATCGTAATCTCATTTCTGTTTTGATCCTGATTATTTGCCCAACGACTTACAAATATTCAATATTTTCTATTAAAAGCTTTCCACTATTAGGCTATATTTATGGTTTTCATGTGTTTGTCTTATATCCTGCAATGCATAAACCAACACCAATGTATTTAGCTTAATATTGCAGCAAGAATGATACAGATAACGATTTTTTGACAACATACAAAACATTTCTTTTTTTTTCGTGTGTTAACTACTAATCGACTATCATATAGTGATGGTTCTGCTTCATCTAATGTCGAGATTATTAGATAACGGCTATAGCTAAGAAAATTTCTTGAAATTTTGTGAAATGATTTTCGTTTTATGAAATAAAGGAAGAAAACTTAAATCAGCGAGTTCACGTGACGTCATTCCTTTACGGTTTTTTGGGCATTTTGTTTTTCTTACAATTTTCGAACGAAAATATATCCAGGTACAGTTTACGTGGCCAAAGTCAAAATGTGAATTTTCATAACAAAATTTGATAACTAATCCAGTCGTCTTCCAACGGCTGCATTAGTTACCAAATTTTGTTACAAATAATTAGCTCTCGACACTCATCTGATAATGAGTTTTCCTCATGACGAATTTTCATGAAAATGGTTCGTGATCTTTGTCACTTTCTTAATTGTACATTTAGATAAATATCATAATTTAGTTAAAAATTGCATTAGACGCTTCACTAGCCGATAATCAGCTAGGTCTGAATAGCTGAATCAGCTTTTCAGTTTTTTCAGCTCTGAATCAGATCTCTTTAAAACACATGTCCGATTTAGAGCTGAAAATACTGATCAGCTCATTCAGCTTTGATTCTAGTGACGGAATCAGAGCTGAATTTTCTGAAAGTGTCAATCCCCGATTTTCCAGAGCTGAATCAGCTATTCGAAGAATAAAGCTCCTGTAAACATCACAATCACAGTAAACACTGTGGTTGAGACAAGTTAGACACAAACGTTGATTGAAAGATTGTGCCTACCTTAGCCCTCAATTTTTCCTTCTAATAGCGAGTCAGGGAACGATAAAAACGGGTATGCGCACATCCCTTATTTGCGCTTAAGGCTATATACACTCTAAAACAGTTAGATGTCATTTAAGTCTAAGGAGTTAGTCAGAAAGTTAGCGGATAGACTTTTCAGCCAATCAGATGACCACTCAGGTGCCTTAGATGATATCTACGTTTTGTAGGGCCTTGTAGGGCACCTTACTTATATAGATTTGTCAGTATGAAAAGCTTCCTAATTAACATAATGAAATCTTATTATTACTTAGGATTATCTGATTAACCGAATCAGTCCTAAAAGTACTGATCAGAATATTCAGCTCTGAATCAGTGAGAAGAACAAGACAAGAACAATATTTTTGTAAGAAATAATTTTCAGTTGTATCACGACGGCCGCTTCGATAAATATCCCCCTTGCTTTTCGAAAAAATTTAATCCGAAATCAGGATTTTCTTACTCCGAAAATTAGGTCTTTGACTTACAAGGAATTCTCGCAATATTCTCGTAAAGCATATCCAACAGAGCAAAGCGTTTACTCGTATTTTCAGAGTAAGACAATTACTCTCATTTTTAGTGGCTTACTCTCAGTTTTGAAGTGAAGCGCTTATTCCCATTTTCAGAGTAAGGCGTTTACTCTCGATTTTGCAGTAAGATATTTATTCCCATTTTTAAAGTAAAAGGGTTACTCTCGGTTTCGTAGCTAGGAAATTCAGTCTTGCTTTAGAAGAACACTGCTTAGAATACTTATCTTTTTTTTTGGTTTTACTCCAATTTTTAAAAGCATGAAAATTTACTCCGAAATTGACTTCCCGCTTCCCCCTCCCTCCCTCTGACATATCGGGGCGCTCCTGTTTATCACAGCTGATTCAGACTCTGATTCAGCGGTGAAAAAACTGGAAAGCTGATTCACCTATTCAGACCTAGCTGATTATCGACTAGTGTTCATATATTGGAAACATTGTGTGAGAAATGAAATAAAATAAAATACAGTTTTCTCCAAGTCTCAGATAGACATAAAGAGAGACATTCTCAATTTACCTGCTCCACGACATCTACACACTGTATTTCGTAAATAAATAATTGGTGTATCGCATAATCGAAAACATAATTCTGGCGCCATTAGTGAACTTTGAAAATAGCTATCATAAGATGCTTCTGTGAAACAGCCACCATAAATAAATTGATTTTGAGCAAGTTTTATCACAAAACAAATAAACCAGACCACGCTCACTATAGCCATTTTGAAATAATGCTTGTTACAATGAGAAGAAGAAAGGGAAAATGAAATTTGAGATGATAAGAAGAAGAAGATTACATACACGTCATGAATCTATTCGAATGCTATTAACTATGTTTTCATTTGTTCGAGAAATGCATCAGGTTTCAAGTTTCGTTTTATTTTTGCTAGATTGTTTCTTCTTTGAAATCCGAGATGCACCATGTTTTACTCAATCTTTTCTTCGAGAACATGAGGCATTCAGATCAGTCATCAAAAGCGTCTTGCTTCCGGCTCTATTTCTCCAAAATGTATAAACAAGAAAGAGGTTTAATTATCGTTAGCAAAAAACTGAGTATAACAACAAAAATAAAGAAATTCACTGATTCATTTATTGTCCGACTCCGTTGAGTTAAGAATCATTCATTCATTTATTTGGTGATATTAACCAATTCATTATCTAAGGTAGCAAAAATTGCTAAATTAAGTCATAATAGTACAAAATTTTCTGAACAGCTAGAAAAACTAAGTATAACTATACCTACTGCTGTTCCTACTAGATGGAACAGTCAGTATGATTGCGTATGCAAAATTTTGGAAATAGCTAATGATTCAAGAAATAATTTAAATCAAATATTAATAGATATAAATAAAACTGATCTCCGTTTACTTCCAAGAGATTACGCTATATTAAATGAGTCTGTTTCATTATTTGCACTTTTTGCCGAAACCACGATAAAAATCCAAGTTGATAAGTCACCTTCCATCAGTCTGGTAGCACCAAGCTTGCTTGGTATTTATCTCGATCTCCAGCATGAATTGCAGAATAATTGTAATCATATAACTTCTTTGTGCAAGACTCTTTTAACATCATTAAAACCACGATTTGGTGGTCTATTGGAAAAACTGTATATTAATATTGATGAAAGTATTTTAAGAAGGTCTACTTATCATCTTTATTCTGATACTATATTTTTAATTTCACCACTACTTGATGCAAAATTTAAACTTAATTGGATAATTAATTCTTCTCTTCCTGAATCAGACAAAGAAAATATTTGTGAAAACATGAAAAAATTAGCTGCTGATGCATGTGTATTAAGAACAAATAATAATAATTATAATACTACAGATGAGAATAATGCTAGCTGTGTATTAAGTAATTCTACAACAACAAATAATACAAAGAGATAAGGGTTATTTTCATATTTTAAAACACCAAACGCGAAAAGAACTAGATTAATTTCACAGAGTACGATAAATGAAGAAATAATGCTTTTTTTAAACGAAGAGAGTGATGAAACTTGTTTAGTTTTTGATAAAAAGGAATCATATCCAACTCTTAATCGATTAGCATATAAATTATTATGCGTACCGGCAACATCAGCACCGGTGGAGAGTGTTTTCTCACAAAGTGGATTTCTTATTAGACTACGTAGAGCTACAATGACAAAAGAGACTTTGTCGCCTTTAACATTATTAAAATACAATTTTAGTTTAATCTAGATTTTTTTCTTTTTTCGGTGGTTATTTTGGTTCTCATTGATATTCGATGTTTTGGCTGTATTTTTTGTAATCAAGCATACATTATTGTTATTCAAGCAAAAAATTTTCTCTTTGAAACTGGAATTCGACTTGTGTTACAAAAATTCTACCAGCCATGGACTTTGGCTTTCAACTCACACAGTCGATAGTGGTCTTCTTGGCGCGCTTCTAATCGAACTTTACCCTGCACTTGTCGTACATTTGGACTTGGACTTGGACTCGACTTGGACTTGACTTGGACTTCACAAATAAAATTTCTGTCGGACTTTGTTGACTTGGACTTGAAAATGGTCGGACTTGCCCACCTCTGCGTGAAAGGCAGTAAACTTCATACTATGTCTACTGATTATTCTCTTTCATGTTACGAACGTAATATATATGCCAAATCAAAAGAATTATTATCTCGCTTTTGTGTTGTACATCAAATGTTTAATAATGCTATGATCTGATTGGAATTATTACAAGGAGAATATATGTTTGTAGATGGGGATCGTGAAAAATGCACAATTTCTGAAAAATTTATTGAATTAGTCGGAGAAAAAGTACAAACAAAATTTTATTCTGGTGCTGTACGTAATGATGATCAACCAATTCTATTTGTCGAAAATCAACATGTGAAGAAGGTCTATTGATTTATAATCATTTTTTACAAACATCATTATCCTTTTCGAATGTAAAACAGAACCATATCGATAAAATTATGTCTCATTGTGGAAAAAAACGATCGAATTTGAAAGAGTTTGTGTTGGCATTTAGATATCGAATATTTTACAAATCGTGGCTTAAAATGTTACCTCCAACGCAAGGTTCAACAGGCATGACTACACCACATCATAATACAAGCGCAGAATTAATTGGTGATTGTCTAGATCAGCTGATTAGAGATGATTTCCTTGACAAAGGTAATTTAATTCGACTTTCTACTGGTGGGAGAGCAGGGGAGTCATTTATGAAGGTATGCGTCCCATCTGTCACTTCAGCTAATTATGTTCATTATTGTCAAAGCTGAGAGAATACTCTGATCAATCAATACAATCGTATATGAATAATTTTTTTTATTCTCCTTTCCATGATGATTACGATATTAATTTCGAAGCAATTAATGCTGTTTACATGAATAATATTGGAAATTATAATGCTGAAATGATGGCTGGATGGAATGATGAAATTCAATGTATAAAAGAATTAAGAGCATCGAAATTAGATAATAGTACGTTATCAACATCATTGACTCAAGAACGAACGTCAGAACGTAATTCAACAACATCATCTGATAAGAAATTATCTAGTCACAAAAATGTTTTTCTAAATCAACAAAAGTCGTCTTTGGTTAAACAAACATTATCTCGAGAATTCGGAGAGATTCAAACAATTCCCGGTGGTGAACATGATGATGAACAACAAAGCAATTCGTCGATAGATATCAACCTAAATTTTCCTGATACATCATGTCGAACATCGTCAAACAATCTGTCAAAATTTTTTACAACAGCGAATAATAATTCAGATCCGTCATTCGTTAGTAAATCACTCAATATTCTTACTGCTTTCGATAAAATCGATTCACATCAAAGCAGCAATATTTAGCAGCACTTGAAGCTGTAATTCCTTTAGCAGCAAAACAGTCAATTTTGGATAATTTGCAACAGATGAAAAATGCAAATATAAATGATAATCATCTCTTCAATTTTCTAAAAATAGCTTCAATCTTGTCACTTATGTTAACATGTTTTTTTTGTTCGTTTGCTTAGCTGGTGTTTTAAAAGAAATATCGTCTAGATTAAACATTTATGAACATAGAGACGAGTCAAGTATGTCCGTCTGTGGCCATCTGTTGATAAGTTTTCTCATTTTATTCTTTGTAGCGCAACGTGAAGAAATGCCATTGTTGTATATCCAAGATTCTGAAAATATACCATCTACTCGTGGAAGGCTAATTTCCGTATTATCCGTTATGATATATAAATCATCACGTTTCTTTTCATTCTAGCAGGAACAAAAGAAGTATTATCTAATGCTTCGGTGAAACGATCTAATGAAGGTATAGTGAAGGCTCAGATTGTTCACGAATATAATTAGCTGTTGAGTTCTGTTTAGGTTTGGGCAAACTAATGGATATAAATGAGCAAGAACAATCACGGTTATGTATCCCTGTCATCCATACAACGTCTTCTACTATTGTAACAAATTCATCTGCACAAATATCTACTAACACATTGGAAAAACGCATTACTGAAGATAATGTTAATCATTTATCGTTGAATGATCCTGTTGGGCGATCAGAGCCAGTCTTGAAACCACTTGTTACCATGAGTACTTTTAACCTTTTATGTTTATTTTTATGCTTAAAGGCGTATCTTGATGATTTTAGATCAAAAAGCTGATGAAGCAATGATGTCTGAACCAGAAATGCCAGTGATAGTAAACTCCTGGCTAATCGATGATACAAGTGATAAAGAGTTGCCGTTTATCGAACAGCAATCAAATGCTGTTACCCATAACTGGTGTGGGTTGTGATTTTTCTGAACTGGTGATTTTTCGGATAGTTTTTAATCAAAGCGTATCAACTTCACTGACATTTAAAGAATTTCTACTGACTCGCAAGACATCAAACTGTTAGAATGAACTGTATATGATACAGTAACAGACTTGAATTGCACTTCGACACATTTCAGTCCTAAGAAAAAGTTTGAAGATCTATTTAACCGTTTCTTCACATTTACACGTCTTCCTTAGTTTCTCTACAGTTTCGGACAAACGGTAATTTTAATGCCTGCAGGCAATTTTTACACTTTTTTTACTTTCTGGGTTAAGTTAGGCGGTACAAAGCGTACATAGGCCGAAACAAACGATAGACGTATACATAGTTATAAGCAGTAACTCTGATTTTATTGAACGATTTCAAATTTAACTTCATCTTCTGAAAAGTAAGCACAATTCCACCGAATTATCAATTTGTAATGGAATATGGCAACAATAAAAAAAACAATAATGGAATATTCTTCCGCTTGTATTCTGACAGAATAGAGCTTATATCAACTCAAGATGGATACGTGATCTAAGCTGGTTTAAGCGTCAATCGATAGAGAATTTAAAACTGAACAAACGTAGGGGTTAGATAATATCTACATACCAGGTGATCTTGTTTTTCTGTAGGATCTTTAAAAAATCCTGTCTCTAATTTAGCTTATATTCCAATTTTTTTGAGTTTTAAACTTTATTATTGAACTTAAAAAGCTCCGATTTATGGGTTTTTTTCAGAGGTATTGGCGTTTAAATAACAATTTAGTCAAAACGTGATAAGAGCCTCGCGTATAGATCCTATACTCCTGTTATTTCGAATTATCGTCGTTCCATAGTAGAAATGATGAAAAGACAGACGCAGTATCAAACTATCATCATTGTCCGGATGCTTTGTTTCTCATTCCATTCTGAAGCATGTTCCAAGAGAGTTGAGTAACGCCGATTGATGCGTGATTACGGCCCATCCAGAGAATGGTAGACCACCATGGTCCAGATCGACATATGTACTAGTGTTCATACCAAGAACGGGACTAAAGCCTATGAGAAAGACAAGCAAAGATGTGATCACTAAGAGGATTACTCTGATAGTCGGAATAACCAATTATTTTGGCCGAAGAATCTCAGGCTTCTTATTCTTTTGAAATGTTTTCGCTAGCCAGGAAGTGTCTCTTGAATTTCCTTCCTTTAATCTTTTTTTTCTAAAAATATAAATGCAACCATTGTTTTTACTTTCGAATTCGATGAACTGTACGAACCTTTCTTTCTACAAGGATAAGTAACCGCTTGAGGAAAGAGAATCTAGCATTTGCCCAAGAAGGCTTTATATTTATGTGAACGTGACTGATACTTTTCGTCTTTCAAGATCGTTTATACGACAGGACAGAAAATGAAATTGCGTCACTTCACTCTCGCAACCTTGTGGAAGGCGGAAATTTTGATTTTTCTTCGGTCAAAGAACAGAGCATTCAAAACGTCAGCTCTGTCTCAATTCCAAGCTATTTGAACAAATATCTTTTTTCTTCTTTTCTCAGTACTGACCTGATAAATCGTGAAACTGTAGTCCATACAATCCTTTGCCGGGTTGATGAAATATTCTGACTAAGTCGACCAGTCCATTTGGTGCATAGGACCTCGATTCGTTTCCCGTCTGCCGTCCCCAAAGGATGTTGAGCGTCGTCCACTCGGTATCAATACTCAGAGACCAGTGATTAGAATCATTCCACACGATGAAATTGATGGGATACTCCACTCCTTGAGCCACGCGGAATGTAGGAACGGTTGAGTTGAAACCGAAAGTTGACGAGCAACAGTCTCTGTTGAAAACAGTCCAGTTGGTAGGACATGCAGCGTATCCGGAATCAATTAGGCGAACCGCAAACAATACGAGCACAAACACACGAGAAGACATGATCGAGAGCGAGAGGAAGATAAGAAGACGTGCCTACCACAAGTACGTGGAACGACGACAGAAAGAAAGAGCACGCAAGGGATAGGTAAGAGTTGATGATGATAAGAATTGTGCTGATGTTTCTGTTGGGCGACACTAATGTGCAACAGAAAGTTGACTTTTGTACCGTTACAGGGCCTTCTTCGGAGTATAAATGTGTGAACGGCTGAGACTTCAACTTGGCTGATTCCTTAGCACTATAAAAAAAGCAAAAGACGCGAGTTATCGTCTTTTTACTAAAAACGATACGTTCTAAACTATTAGTACTTACAAAGCAAAACTTTGAATAATATTAACAAATATATATATATATATATATATATATATATATACAATACTTTTACTTTATTGCGAATAGTTTTTTGGGATTATGATAAGAATAACGTACAATGTGTTAGTATTCTCACAGTATGTTCTACATAGCATAATCTAGATGATGAACAAAGGATTCAATATCGATAATAACAAGAACAAATACATATTAGTTTGTAATGTGCAACTAATAAAATATCTGACTAAGATATTCTTCCGGTTAAGGAAAGAGAAGAGAAAAAACATTTATTATTGGAAAGAATACAATCTAGTACTAGTTGGAACGGAAGCCATAATGACTATGATAGGCTCTATGTGAATAGAATAGAAACGATCATGCTTCTATGGATCATTCATCTACTAACATGAACATAATAACATAATACAATAAGTAATACAAGGTGATAGCCCTGTTGTTTGTCTACACAATTGAATGTTATAATCAACCAATTATATATGTATTTCATATAGATAACGTCAGTTTTACAGAGAGGGATCGAAACTTTTGAATCATCCTTTACGTTCATATGCGAGTTCATAGAGTGGGATATCGGAGTTTCATTAAAACAATTTTCATTAAAAGAACTCTCATTAAAATGAAGTTCATTAAAATTTCGAACCCTCGAACTTCGTTCGAAATGAAAATTTCTTTCACTAAAGTTATCACAGCTCATGATTAACTTTTAGAAATAGAGTAAAGAAGATAGTTCAACATCGCGACAGAAATATGCCGGAAGGATTTAAAGGAGGAACTTGTTCTTCAAAATTTTTGCTGTGTACTCACTTTGTATTCATATAAGTTCTTCAGTAAAAATGTCTTTTAGATAGAAATTGTGGCGTACTGAACGCATCGTAGGATCGATATAAACTTCAAAAAGTCACACCATGTTCTTGAAGAAAAGTCCGAGTAAAACACGGTGTGATCAAGAACTACAGCTATGTACAACGGTGCTGTCAGACTTCCAGTAAAACTAAAATTCAAGAGCTCCACCAGAATTGCGCCATCTTTTTGATCCTAAATTCTCGCGAATGTTTCTCAGTGGCTTGCTCTCACCTACTCACCTACCGGATTATACATTAAACACCAGAGTTTAGAATCCTCCTAACATCTGGTGTATGTTACTGAATTCTGCTACACTATAATTCTGACGAAGTATTCCAGTAGAAAAAATGACTAAAAAATGAGTGTATAGGATGTTAAATGGTGCTGAGTAGAAAATTCTTACTGCAATATTTCTTCGTCAGAATTTAATAACGTATAGCAGAATTCAGTGACATACATCAAATGTTAGGCTTCTAAACTCTGGTGTTTCATCTATAATCATCAAAACTCAGGCAAAAAAAATAGGTATCAGAATTCGACTTCCTTTGCATCAGGTAGGTGAGACTGAGCCACATAGAAACATTCGCGGGAGTTTAGGATCAAAAAGATGGCTAAATTATGGTGCAAATCTCGAAGTTTATTTACTGGAACTCTGACAACCCTCATTTATATACCAAATGTCACGAGTATGACTCACGACGCGACTTCGTCAGTCACATCGCGAGAATAAGGACTCATGTCCAAATATTGGGAAAAACATGGGACTCCCGCACCGGCAGCGGGAGCCACGCCGTGAGTTTCGCGAGTGGATTGGAAAAAACCCTTTTCATCGTGGGTTTATAGTGATCGCGAAAATCGTGACGTTTTTCGTGAGTCCAATAGCGACCGCATTACGCGTTCACGCCATGACTTTTTCTGTGATTCACGTCGTAATGGCTTTGCCGTGAGAGTCGACCTGGGACAGCAAAGCAACAATCACTGCTTTATTTATTTCACACTGTATAACGGAAAAAAACATGTGAGAAAGAATAAAATTTCTTTTAAAGGAAAGAAACGATTTTTGTCGCAGTTCTATTGAAAAAAAAGAAAATAACATTTAGCTCGTCATATTTCTTTCTTCTTTTCACATTACACACTTCTTTTCTTTATTATTCTCGTGATGATGATATAAGCATTTCAAATTAATCTGCTTTATCTGCTTACGGACTTGAAAGAGCAAAGATATGCGTTGACTTAGTTATCACAGATAATTTCAGCTTTATTGATGATATGAGGGTGTTACCACTGATGTATGTGTGTATTTCCATCTAGACACTACCTTGCAGGAGTAGTGTATAGCGGGAAGAGAAAATAAGATCTATAAAATTCAATAAAAAGTCAAATTAGAAGGTCGTTTAATGTTTATTATTCGAAATATTTTACTGGAGGATGCTTGTTCATTATGTTTTTCCCTTTCAAATGATGAATGATTCAAGCGTGATAACATACATAATTTTTGTAATTGACGAACAGTTTTATAAACGGAACAAGCTTATATTATACAAGGTTTTGTATTAAGAATTTGAAAAAGTTCATCTTAAGTTGGCTAGCCAAGCAATTGTAAAACACACATTATTGAATTTTATGATGTGGTATTACAAGTTTATCGCTTTGAAAGTAGTCAATGAACATTACTATGTGTAGCACTTTTTAATGCAAAACATATATGAATTTTTGGATTTTACCAGTTTGATCACACTCACCGTTATCTATCAGATTAGATTTTTTTATAAACGGAAGTCATTTTTATGTGTATCATCTGTAATGCGTAGTTGATTTACAGTTCCCTTTGATAATCTTTTACAATACATCATAAGCACGCTTGTAGCCTAATTATTTGGAAGACAATAATCCTATCCAAATATTTGTCATTTTGTGACAAATAAAAAGTGTCCAGTGAAGTAAATTATTATTTTTTTGTTTCTTCGAAAGAAACTCGTTTGAAATTTACTCTATATTATTATGAATCGCTACTAAAAAATGTCAAAGGCGCCCTTACAGCAATCAAAGCGCCTAAATGAAAATGAATATAAAAATTTATCCCGTTTCGAAAACAAGAACAATAAACAGAAAATACAATCTACAACAAAAGATGATCAATTAAGTGTACAAATATGCTCAATTTATCAAGTGGGGATGAAAATGATAAATCATGCACTCGAGTTTTCACTCCATCGGTGTGTAGTGATGACGCACCAATACTACCCAAACGTCTGTTACTTCAAAAGCGTCGTTCAACTGTAGCAGATTTGGCTGTCTCCAATAAAGGACAATTACAGCTTATTTTGGCACTGAATAATCCTGATAAATATCCAGCATTATGTAATAAAATAAAAATGAATGCAGCTCGTAGAAAAACAATATGTGTATTAGCCGCAAATAATCAACAATTCGGTGAAGTATGTTTTCATTTCTCACTATACCTTTGACACAAGATATTGTATTGACAGAAAAAAAACAGAAATCATAGAGATACGACTAAAAGCGATGATTGCCAAACAAATCGTGCTAATTTCAAAGTACTTGAGGAACAGTTAGAACAGTTCCTCTCTTTTTTGAAATAATTTTCGGTTTTGAGTGGAACACAGCCTGATGTAGAAGAAAGTCTGGACTACAAAATGCGACCAGTCATAGAGTTCCCCGATCATTCTTTGAAAAAGTCTTTTCGGTGTTTGTCCAAAAGTCTAAACAAATACAAGCATTTTAATTTCATAAACTTTTCTCTCCTTTCTGGTACATTCAAAATGTTTTCTTATGCTTGCTTGATAGAAGAAAGTGTTATCTGCACAATGAGATGTGGGTGATTCTTTCGGAAACGTACCACATTTACATCTACTTTATCCGGATTGTTCGAGAGTAACAGGACTAGTACAACTTGAGCTCCTGATGACGAATATCACGTTTAAAAGATTCTAAA